GGTGAAGATGCGGGCGAGGTTAGGCGAATGTCCGTTCTCTGACCGAACATCTACTAGGTATTATAGCAAACCTACCTAGGAAATCGCGGTTTGCGACGGGCCACGGATGCGCTGCCGCGAATCAGAAAGCACCGGTATGGCCTTATCAAAGGGCCTTGTCCAATCCGCGTCTGCGTGTTTGGTGGGATGTCTTATCGTTATCGACCCCGCCCCCTCTTCTCTAGCACTTACCCCCACCACCTACCCACCACCTAGCCAACTAACACACTATACTAGGTACCTAGCAAAGGATACAGCAGAACCCCGGGCGTTTTCTGCTGTGTCCCACAACGCCCCCCCCCCCCCCCCCCTCTGTCGGCCGGCTCCGTTGCCTTAGAGTCGGCAGCTTCCACTCTCTCTGCATGCAGCCACCATCATCATCAGATCCCACTCGTCTTCGACGGTCCTGATCGGCAAACCGGCGCTGCGATACTGCATACTATACACACCTCGTACAAGCGAAATCGGAATTTTGCCCGAGATTCCGTTGAATAGCGACGACGGAACACGCGTGACAGGGTGTCGACGGCAGGCGTCAAACAGTTAGTTACCTACCGAGACTCACCGGGGCTCACCTTCATCCAGCACCAAGGTACGTTACGAAAGAGTTTTCCTCAAGGTCGCACAGGTACGAATTGATAATAACAACTGAATCCAGGTCGAATCGCAGCAAAGTGTCTCGGTAGCTCCTAGCGAAGCGTTCTAATTACCTACCGTGCATACCCACACAGTACCTATGCTGCTCATCAACCATCCGGCCTTGGCTGTCCAGCAGCCATATCCCGGCCAGCAAAGCTCACCACCGTCTACCGGGTACGACCCGGCCTTTACCTAGAAATTCGGTACAACCCCACAATTAGGTTACGCCTGAACCATGGCAGGCGATGGTAAGTTGAACTCTGCCGCGCATACGATGATGTAACTGGTCTTTACCCAGAACCTCGTCTTTATGCTGTCCATATCACCTCGTAGTGGCCTTTACTACTACCTTCTGTATTGTTTCCCTTCTATAGACTTACGGAGCCATCTTTCATATACAAGTCAAGATGGAATTCTTCAACGTCATAGATGGACAGCGCCGCGCTGGCGACAGTCATCACCAGGGCATCAATCCCCGTACAGAGGAGCCTCTTTGGGATGCGCCGGTTGCGACGATGCATGACCTCGAGGATGCCATCGCGGCGGCCCAGAAAGCTCTCCAGACTTGGTCCAAGACCACGACAAAGGAGCGAGCCAACTATCTAAGCAAGATTGCCGATGTGTATAATGCCCACAAGGAGGAGCTGATGGAAATCATAATGAAGGAAACCGGGAAATCGGTAAATCGCGTCTCTCTCCCTGGCTCGGAGTAGAGCAGGTGGCTGACCGGCCCCTAGAGTCTCATGGCCGAGATCGAAATCGGAAATACATGCGGACAGACCATGTACTACAGTACGTCCACTAACAAGCTTCACTCGAAAACACCCAGCACGCTCACCCCTCATAGCCAAGGTCCATCTCGAAGACGAGGTCACTTTCGAGGACGAGAGGCTCAAGATCGTCGCCACCCACCACCCGTTGGGTGTAGTCGCCGCCATATGCCCGTGGAACTTCCCCCTGATCTTGTCAAACATCAAAGTGGCATCCTCACTCATCACAGGCAACTGCATCATTGTCAAGCCCTCGCCGTTCGCGCCCTACTCCGTCATGAAGTCCGTCGAACTCCTCATCGATGTCTTGCCTCCCGGCGTCGTCCAGGTGGTCAACGGCGGCACCGACCTTGGCGTCGCCATGACCTTGCACCCGGCCATCGCCAAGATCAGCTTCACTGGAACCATTGCCACTGGCAGGAGTATCATGGCCAACTGCGCTAGGACACTGAAACGAGTGACCTTAGAGCTGGCGGGCAACGACGCAGCCATCGTAACTGATGACATTGACGTTGCCAAAGTGGCGGAGCAGGTTGCCACTGGGTGCTTTTTCAACGCCGGTCAAATGTGCGTAGCTACGAAACGCGTCTACGTTCACGAATCCGTATACGAAGACTTCATCGAAAGGTTCACCGGCGAGGTGGCTTCCTTCTCCGTTAACAATGACCCCAATTCGCCCAGCCTGTTCGGTCCCCTCTCAAACAAGACGCAGTATGACGCTGTCTCGGACATTGCCCGTCATTATAGGAAGCACGGTAGCAACATCATCACTTCCAAGCTTCCCCCGGACTCCAAGGGCTTTTGGATCCCGCCTACTATCGTCACAAAGCCGCCAGAGGACTCCATTCTTGTCCAAGAGGAGCAGTTCGGTTCGTCCCACTCATTATTTGACACATGAATATGGCTTGTAATTGCCGAAACCTGTAAACTAATCATGCTTCCAAGGCCCAATTGTACCGATACTCACTTGGACGGACGAAGAGGACGTACTGCGACGCGCCAATCTTAGAAACGCCGGTCTCGGGGCATCTGTCTATTGCAGAGACATGGACCGAGCCGAGAGCATAGCCAGAAGGCTGGAAGCAGGGACGGTCGCCATCAATGTGCCCGAGTTGCCCCATCCCGGTGGTTATTTCGCAGGGATGAAGGACAGTGGTCATGGGGGTGAAATGGGAAGGCAGGGCTTATTGTCGTACTGCTACACCAAATGCCTTCAGTTTGCAAAGGGCTGAGGTTGTCGCATGTTGTAATTCTTGGTTGTACTGGATTCACAATACACGGCGATGCCTTGATTTCGCTCCTTAGCCCCCTCACCAAACGGTGAAGATGATCACCTTCTCCCAGCATGCGACATCCTCACGCAGTCTTCTCAGCACGCTTCTCCAGCTCGACGATTTGCGCCGCAAGATCGCCCAATGTATCCTCCAGCTTCCTGTACTCCAGGCCGAGCACCTTCTCTGCTAACGACGCGTCCGCGCCAAAAATCCCCTCCGGAAGCGCCGTCTCCGTTGGATCACCCTTCGGGATGCGGCCTTCTAGTTCCGGGAGCCTCTTCCGCACTACGTTCGCGATCGCCTGATTGGACACGCCGCCGGGGCTGACGATGAATCTGTGGCCCCCCGCAGCAGGCTTCGTCGCCGCTAGCAGGTGCGCGCGTGCCACGTCCCGCACGTCGACGTACAGGTGGAGGACCGCGGGCGGGATGGGCGACGCCGCCGTCAGCCCCGGCGCGAAGAACGTCTCGTAGAGCATGTAGTTGCTCTGGTTCAGGTCCCGCGGGGACCCGAGCGCCGATGTGTCAAGCAGCGGCCCGTACACCACAGGCGGGTTGATGGTCGCCAGGTCGAACGCCGGCTCGTTCTCCTCGATAAAGGCCCAGGCCGCCTTCTCGGCGAACGTCTTGCTCGCCAGGTACGGCAGGTACGGGTTCTCGGACGTCTCGGCGTCCTGCTGCGAGACCTCGAGCCAGTCCCGGTCGCTGTAAATCTTGGGCGATTCGGACACGGGCGGCCGGAAGATGTCGATCATGGCGGCCATGGAGCTGGTCACGACGACCCTCTTGACGGCGGGCGCGGCGCGGCGGACGCCGTGGAGGATCTCCGTCGTGCCCCGGACGGCGGGGCCCAAGAAATCGGCGTTGGAGTTGCCCTTGCGGAAATCGAAGGGCGAGGCTGTGTGCAGCACGGTGTCGAAGGGCGGGTTGGAGACGAGCGCCGCGTCGAAGGCGCCCGGGGTCGTGATGTCCGGCACCAGGGCGATGTCGAGCTGGGACGAAGCGAGGTAGGAGGAGAAGGTCGTGCGGAGCTCCGAGGCCGAGGACTCGCTGCGGACGACGGCGCGGACGGAGTGGCCTGCCGCAAGGAACTGCGCGAGGATGTGTTGGGCTATGAAGCCGTTCGCGCCTGTGACGAGGACGCGTTGGGGCATTCTTGGAGTGCTTTTTGTCATCTGGCGATCAGGTTGTACTTCCTATCCCTCACACCAAGGCCGCGAGTTTCGGAAAGGGTCATTTATACACGCTCACAAGGAACATTGACCAGAGCCCCGTCCGTTCGCTTCCATTCAGGGCGGAATGATAGCTATGGATACCTCGCGGCTCAGCGAACAGGTAAGTCTTTCCCAGCTCTGGTTCCGTGCTTATCTGTCATGGTAGGTCGGACGTGTCGGACATACGGATTTGCATTTATTAAGCTTTTGAGAGAGAATGCGTGATTGCAACCATAAAGGGTGGGAACACGAATGGAGAAACAGAAAAAGAGGCGCAACTCGACCTCCAACCTTGTCCTTGTCTAGGGAAAGAAGACTGTCACATTTCCCTCTGATGTCAAGCGCTGTTTATGGTGTTCAGCATTGGGCATGATATTTTACTGTGTTCTTTTGTAACTGTGTTGCTATCATTATGTACCTGTGCGACCTCAAGAGGGACCGCCTGGATCAAGTACCTTGGCAATGGGCATGATATATGCAGCGACAGGGCTAGGGTATCATAGTGCACCTGCGCAAACCCTATAAGGGAGCGTCTTGGATACGCATCTCGTTCACCAGAGCAGTTTTGTTTACCTGTAAAGTTTAGCGGTTATAAAAGACGGTGTCCATTGGGGCGATGGCCTTCAAGCCATGATATACTCTACTTATAAGTGTTTAGCTTTGAGTTTCGCATTGCAGAGCTAATTAGCGCACATACTGATATAGGCAGATGGACGATGCACGGGTTTCGACTACTTGATTATGCGCTTCTTATGTACATTATACCTCTAACTCGACTCATGGTCAAGCTGCATATGTCTTTCTCGAGACAGGTAGTGTCCTAAAGGAAATGAGGATCAGGCCGGGGATGCGGAGATGGAGCGCCCGCCAGACCCCGCTCCGGCCGATACCTGGACCACAGCAATCAGAGACCAGGAAGTCGAGGGGTAAAAGAAATGGAGAACGAAGAAAAGAGGGCTGCTACAACTAAGTGGATACAATGAAGACTGAACCACCCGGAAGTATTAGTCAAGTGAGCTGCGCTAAACACCCCCTCCAAAGAAAAATCGAGCCCCGCACAAAAATTGACCAGCCTGGGGGTCGAACCCAGAATCTCCTGATAATACTACAATCGTAGTCAGACGCCTTGCCATTGGGCCAACCGGCCTTATTTTGTTATCCATATTTTGGATGTTGTTGATGTAATCGCCTACCGTTCCTAAGAGGCGTAAGCCCCGCTCTCTCGATTTTGGGTGACTGCTAACAACACAAAATCCAGTGCGCATGTCTGTTTACTTGCTTCGTTGGCATTTGTAACGGTCCTCTACATAGTTCCAAACTTTGTGAGTCTGTTTTGAGGAAACTAGTTTGGGCTTTGACTGCCGTCGGAATCAGGCTGTACAATTCTAGGGTTATTGGACGGATAATAACGTCAGATGCTTGGTGGAGGAGGCCGGAAATGACAGCCTGTTGGCTGACCATTCGGAAGCTGACCTTGTTTAGGTGCTGCCAAGGGGATATCTTGCATGTGGAAGGCTGCTGCAGATAAGAGCAATGATATAGTGTAGTGAGGCTGTAACTTGTGTAACACCCTAGTAGCCTTCCAGAATCACTAAATGTGGTCATCCCCGTGCCCAAAGAAGGCCGTGGGGTCGCATATTGCAGCAATAAACCAGTCCCCTTGTACTTGGGCTGACCACCCATCGCCCAGTTTAGTCATGGATGATAAAGAAGCTGCGAAGTGCTCCCGAGCCTCGTTGTGGCCCCCAAGGTTGTGGAATCTGAGATGCCCAGGTCGACGAATACTTATTGGTGTACAAATTTTCTGTCTTTTTCCTTTCTCTCCCTGTTGCGCTTCTTCGTCACTAACAATTAGCAATATGGGCGATCACGACGATTCACCCACATGTGTGTCGGCAGAGCACCATGGCCCGACTACTAACAGCCCTGGAGCTATTACAGATTTGACTGCACATTACTTTGGATGCATCAAAATATCAGAACGCGCCGATTTCCTCGACAGGTACAAGAACGCCCAGCTCTGGGACCATGAACTTCATATCGAGATGGAGAGGTTGTTTCAACAAGGAAACATGCACGAAAAGCAATGTGAGGATGAAGCCATAAAGAATGTTGACAAAAAGATCAAAGACCTTGCGTTCAAAATTGATTCCCAGTACAAGAGAACGGAAATCCTACGTGAGGCCCTCTCTAAGGACCCCTGCTTGTCTTGCACGACGCAGGACAAACCCTCCAAAAGCCCACCCTGCAATCTTGTTAGCCTAGCTAAGGACAGCCATGAGGAGTGGAAGAAATCCGACACATACAAGGAGGGGATAAACACTATTCGCGAGTGGAGACAGAGAAAAAACGGCAATGACAACACCAGAAGCGGCAGCAATGGATCGGACCATACAGCCAGCGACATCGAAGATGTCAATCGGAAGCAAGTTCGGAACATAATGAAGGAATACCATCCAGATATAGAGTCCGCGTTCGAAAAAGAAGAAGACATCTCCTATGAGCTTGAAAGGGATACCAATGGATACATCATCCAGTGGGACGTCTTGGGGCCAGGGACATCGCAGCAGTCACAGCAACCATCCATCTCCCTGAGACCGTCAAGCACCACCCCATCCGAGGACCAAGAGCCACCGAAGAAGGGACATCTCCACTGGAAACGACCATTATCAATACCACAGGCCCCCTCTCTCTACGAATCAAACTCTGGCTCTGAAAAGTATTTGAAGCCGGTGAGCGAAAGTGCTACGGATTATCGTTTTAAAGGTCAGTTCCCTGACCAGAGAACAACCCTGAAAGACCTTTTGCTCTACACATCGGCAAAGGAGGAGAGTAAACAGGAGAAGGTGAGGGATGTGATACTGTCTCGCAAACGACATAAAGAGGCACCGAGGGTGCGCTACATCCACATTCCTCACAACAACATGAAGGTAAGGAGTACCGCTCAAGCGTTGTGGTTCTGTGCTAATGCAAGTACATTTAGTGGGTAGAAGTAAGTCATATTGTCCGCCGAAGGTATTTACGGGAACACCCTAAGACTCTGATAGGAAGCCATTGCCCGATACTTCGATGAGGATTCACCGACACACGACAGGGTGAACCGACGTTCCTTAGTGAGAACTCGCAGTCAGATGGTTTTGCGACCCGAATACTGGAGAGGTCAGCAGCACGGAGGTGGACAGACATTGGTGCACGCTCGCCATATGCGAGCAATCTGCGAGAGAATATCTTCAAGTAAGCTATATTGTTTTACTAGTATGCTCACAGAAACTTCGTTCATAGTGCAGCTTAATAGAGCCCGGTGGCCTGAGTCTGCCTATGTGCATTGCGAATTCGACGATCCATCCATGATCCGATATTTGCTTACATCACTCAGTCAGCGTAATGATTTCAATACAGTAACTAACCCCGAAATTCAGATATATGGGAAGTGGAAGATAATCCAGATAATATTGTGCTATTTGTAAGCATTTCCATGTCAATCCTTCCACTGACCACAAGGCCGGCGATAAAAGAGGCTGACGTGGGTTGCACGACTCTAGATGCCGTTCCTCCACTGGGAAGAGGACCGCAAGCGCGACAAGATAGCCAGTATCATCGAGCAGGAGACTGTAAGCAACCGCGAAGAACGCGAGAAAGACCGAAACAAAGCCAAGAATGAGAGAGTTTCTGAGCGTACGTATTCAACCGTTTGGGGGGACAAAAAGCTACTCAAAGCCAAACCACAGCTCAGTTTCCAACAACCGGAGGAGGGCGACAAGAAACACGCTCGGAAAATCAAGTCGACCTGGGAGGAGAAATCGCCTGGAAGGCCGGATGGCAAACACTCACGCAACTTTGTCGAGGTCGCAGAAGGGTTCATTCGGGGGGGCACGGTCGGGGACGAGTGTGTCAGGGACGGTCGAAAGATGTGGCGCGTTGCAAAGTTGCCCTGCGGAAAGCACGGGAGGCTCCAGACGCAAAACAAATTGGGCCAGTTTCTCCTTGACGCGGCAAGGCTCTACGAGGCGATTTCGATGTATCGAGACCAGAAGCTCGTGGAGACGTTCCTTCACCACGACCCACCACTGCATCCCCGGCGGACCTTGGACCAGTCCTATTATTGGGCCCTGAATTCGACTAAATTCCGTGATAGAGATCAAGTGGTTTACCGCGGTACAACAATGGATCACAGAGACATCCACAGGCTCAAAGTACAAGATGATTGTAAAGGTCAGAGACACACCTGGCACTTGAGCAAAGTCTTGGACTGCCACCTCTTGAACCGCAAGAAGTGCTCGTCTCCTGAGGCGCCGGAGGAGAGAGAAGCCGAAAGTAGTAGGGGTTTCTACAAATGGGACGGCCACTTGCTCAATGCGAGCGACGTAGTATGCGACCATTGCAGAGGAGAAATTCGGAAAGTGTCGAGGATCGTCATGGTTGATCAGCTATGGATGTGGATCCTAGACAAGCAGACCATCATCACTAGCTTCCCGAAAAGGTACGGGACGAACAAGTCGGACCCTTCCGGGGTACACAATTCGATTCGAACCAGGATCAAGAACGCCCGAAAGAACCAGATTCGATCCGTCTTCGATGTAGCCCTGATAATCTTGGACGAGTGTTCAAACACGTTCTTTGATCGCACCAAAACCAAAGTAAGCACAGTGGCGTGATGGAGCAAAGGGCTAGACGGCTAACATTCAGAAGGATCGACAACCCCAAGTCTTGGACATTTTCGCAGAGTCAATTGGCAACCTCGTGGGTCACTTTTACACAACTCCGAAAAGAGATATCAAATAATGCTGACTTCGTGGTAGCAAAACAAACAAACAGTGTCGTGTCAGCACCTATGGCACTGGACTGAGGGTGCCTCGAAGATCTACAACTCCAAGTCCAAGTACGAGGACACTGCCCACCTACCCATAGCCCCGCTTCTCAACATCAACCCAGAGGGCAAACTGCAGCGAGAAATCAGAGACATTATCGACGAGCTGGACATCATGATTCACGTCATCAAGAAGCAGAAGGAGGTCATCAAGAGGTTCGTGAAGAATGTAGAGAACATCTACGACCCGAGCGGCACATGGCGAGATGAGACGCCGAGCCCCGACGGGGAGCGGAACTATCTGCGCTCAAGGTCCATGTCAAGAACAGATGACGATCCCCGGAGCAAGGAGAGGAATCGGAAGACCAAGAGCAAAGAGGACGAACAAAAGCTATGGAGGGAGAAGGAAGAATTCACGTGGTTCCGCAAACAGGCCTATGATTTGATTTCAGATGTCGAAGACAGAATCAACGAGCTTGAGGGGTTGCGCAAGAGCGCTGAGAGTACTTCTCAAGGAGTATGGCCAGCCCGAAGTCCAGGAAAGAAAAGTCTGACGAGCTAACTTAGCAACCTTTTATAGATCAAAGATCTTCTGGACCTCAAACAACAGCAGGCTAGTATCCTGCAGGCGTGGCATTCAGTACGACAGGCGGATGAAACTGTTCGCCAAGGGCGATCCGTCATGATTTTCACCATCGTTACCATCATATTTGTAAGTTTCTCCCTTCATAATACCCTCTTTTCCTGGTTTATTGCGGAACGTGGCTGTAAACCACCGCATTCCTGTTATTCTGACTTTGACGCGGGTTAGCTCCCCTTATCATTCATGTCGAGTGTCTTTGGCATGAACAATAAAGACATTGGTGAGACCAATATGACCTTTAGTGAACAAGCAGCCTACATGTGTAAGTGGTCAACCGTCATCTTTATAACCGACAGCTGACGAATCTTGCTCCAGTCCCGATTTCTGCCAGTGTGATTCTTGTCTCAATCGTCTTCGCCTTTTGGACATACCCGCGCACAGTGGTCTGGTCCGCATACAAGTATTCTGAGACATGGATTATTGTTACGTTTGGAATTTATGATGCATTCCTGAGGCTCAAGGAGTGGAAGACATCTGGTATGACCAGCGACGAGGTGTTGAAGAGTCTCGAGAAGAGTGTCGAGGAAATGAAGAGCAAAGCGAAGAGCCGCCGCACCAAAGCGTAGACGAAGATTGTCAAGATAGTGACTTATTGGATTATTGAACAGTCAAGAGCATCGCCACACATAAAAACTTTTCCAAGAGTATACGTTCAATAAATGAAGCGCTACAGGCGTCGGGAACCTATCGTCAAAGG